ACAAGAAGATTTACCACACACTTCTGGGTGTCTATCAAATGAACATCACACAACCCATCCAAACCATAAGATTATGCAACTCTGGCCAGCTGGACCAGAAGACAATGAAGAGATAACTAGATTGATGCAAAGTGGCAAGGATTCAGTATCCATGGACAAACACAAATTACGCATCAGTCAAGAAACTCTTGACATGGATCTCTGGATCAGTAAACTGAAAGATGCAGCAGGTTACCTGACTTTTCATACAAGAAAGGATTTATATAACCTTGAATCCCTTAAGAAAGACCTGGTGTCTGACACCACTTTTATTCAGACTGCAAAGCAACCTTCAGACAGCCCACCAACAGGTGCGACCAAGAAATCTATTACACTGCCACAATTAGTCACTCAAAAGGCATACAGAAGGAAAACAAAAGCTCAACCAAGCACCCTTCAAAAGACTAAAAATGTATACCAATATGTCAAAAAAGAGATTGTAAAACATCCAACAACAGATGCAACAAAGCCTACAGATACATTTTCTACATTGAAAGAGATAAATTCAAGTTTGAAAGAGAGCCCTGAGGTCCCAGGTGGAGGTTTTAAAAGGATCACAGACACCCAGAGTGCCAATCTGCCTTGTGGGGAAGGTCCTATGAATATCATTGCACAAAAGGAAGTAAAAAGGTTGTAAGTTTTTACAAGATCTGTTTCAGAAAGAGGCATCTGACTAGTTTATTTTCATCTACAGAGCTGAATCACCAGGAACACCACTTCTTAAGAAGATATTACAAGAAGGTAACACAAGTAAAAATATTGGGAAGTATGATGATTTTCACAAAGTTGGGAAGAAGCCGTCTTTGAAAATCCCAGAACAAACTCCTGAGGGATGGAAAATCAAGGTGAAATCAAACACAAAAGCAAATGATATACAAAAGGATCATGATCACAAGTAAGCCCAAAACTCAGGAAATCCTTTTTTGCGTGAGAAGTTGCTATAAATCAACTAAACAGATTCTACCCCTTGCCTTTAGGAATTTATCACCAGAAAAACTAAACTTCAACCAACAGGTACCTGGAGAGGCCACCTTTGAGATACTTGAAAGTGACAATCTCAAGGAGACCACAGATAAATTCATAGTTCCTAGTAGTGTCAAGTCATCCAAAAGAAAAAAAGAAAGGTTGAGTGGTTCTAAAAGAGCCTCATACATCAAAGCAGATTCAAAGGCTTCAAGCAGTACCATATCAGATAAGGATTGCACTATTTGGCGCCCGGTTTCGAAAACACGACGCCCGGTTTTGAAAACACGACGCCCGGTTTTGAAAACACAACGCCCGGTTTTCAAATTTTACATCTTTCCGTAGCCCGGTTTCAAACCGGTTTTTAATTGTACACACATGCCGAGTTAGACCATGGTTTATGACAAGCATACTTGCCCATAGTTCTAGCTCATTGTCGATAGTTTTTGAAATCCAATGTCTTAATTTGCTTTTTCAAAGACCCCGATTGCAATGTAATCCTGGAGTGAGGTGGTTAACAGTCATAAAAGTTCAAATAAAATGAATGACTGTTGTACTCAGAAACAACCAAGGCCAAAAAGATACAAGTTCAAACAATCATTCTAATCAAAATCAACCAGAATAAAAAATAAGATACATTCACACCAACATTTGACTCGGGATCGATTAAAATGGATCCCACTATTTAGCGCCCCCTTGGCAGATATCCGTGCCCCTTGGGTTTTGATCAATACCCGCGCGGCCCGTCAAAACCCAAATATTTTAAGCGTAAGCCGGACCTCTGGGGCGCCTTGAGGGCTCCTTAAGCGGGCACAACTTCACAGATGAGCCCTGTTTTTACCTTTTTGATGCCCTTCCATCACCTCGATGGGGCAACAACTGGCAACAAAGATCATTAAAACCAACAAAAGGGCTCCTAAGTTGTTTTGCGCCCGGACCGGCCCCATGACTACACAGACATTGGCCCCTCAAGCCATGGAAGCATACCGCAGAGCGTACCCTTACACATGTAGTAGGCCCCCCTCTCCGCTCTCCCCTATCTCAAACTTGTTTCCTTCCTACCCATCTTTGAACAATCCCTTCATCGCTCTCAGATTGCTCTCATGCCTCCCGATTCTCCGTCTCTTACCCGCAATACTCGATTCAACCCAAAAAAAGCACGACCGGATGCTTTGAGCACGCGAACAAACACGATGACTACCGATTTCAACGGATCTTGATCATATTACTTCTGTCAAAGCTGGGACCATTAACTGGAATAGTTTGGATGAAACATATCACGATTATCATTCTTCTACTCAATGAACAATATTTAAAAGACAATCTGGAAAAGATCTGGGCATTTGGACCTAGACGAATTGGACCGAATGTGTCATCAGATCAATTACCTTGTTCAAATCAATTGTAAGTGTGTTTTTCAATACGATTTGAATTTGGTGTATAACAAGTTTACTAAGGTGTGCGTTTTTGTTTAGAAATAAAACACTGAACTAAACAAAAACCAGATTCATCACTCGTATCAGAATCATCATCTCTATCAACGGACACAGATCAAGATGATGAATCCAGTTCAGCTAGTATAGATGTACGTGATATTGATGAATTGATTGAAACTGCATTTCAATTAACCACACTCAAAGGACTACTATGTGCAGAACCATTATCAGGGATGAGTTTTTCAATTCAAAATTTATAACTTGATCTTACTAAAACTTCCGTAGAATCAAGTAAGTTGTTCTATTAATTCAAAAGATAGAGATCAAAGTGGTTCTTGAAGTTTGATTTTTGTATTTTTTTCAGTTCGATCTAGATGGTCACAAAGTATATGCAGTCGTATCTGGAAGAAAAGGAGCCATAATTTCAGAAGACATTGAGTATGGAACAACATTTTATAGTCCAAAAGCTAAATTACCAATAATTGAATCATTTGGATTTGATGATGAATTAATGTCAAAAACATCTGGAATTGCTTTACTACAATCGATCTTTGATGGGTTTTTTAAAATTGATCAAGATCCATTTTGGATACCCAAAACTGATGAAGAATTAGAATATTTTGGTCAGATTGGTGCACATTGAGTTCTGTTCGCGAACATTCAAAGAAGCGTAAAAATGGCTCAGATTTTCTACTTTAGATAGGTTAAAGTGTGTCTGTGGTGTGCATGTATCAAAGAGGAAATCCTACAATGAACAATCAACAAAGGAATACGGAATATCAAGGCGAGATGAAGTAAATAACGCGGGAGCCCCAATTAGGTGCCCCTTTTTAAAAAAAGGGCGCCTGAATTGTTTGTAGCCTGGTGTCCGACCCAAGAGGGGGCTCCGGATACTGCTCCGAGGGCGCTAAATAGTGGGATCCATTAAAATATGATGAGGTTGAATATGATAATGATAAGACGGTCATAAGATACAACTTCAACTGTAATCAGTCAAAATAGGAGTTCGAAAAAGATAAATGTTTGGTTCAATAGGTTTCATCCTCAGAATTGGAGATGAGAAGGTTGCATCACCGGTTGTTCAAGATCTGTAGGAGTGACTTTCTTAAAAGATTCATTACTCTGACAAACCGTGGTCCGATTTGATATTGGTACGTCGTCTTCAAGTTATGAGGAATGCTGAGTGAGAGAGGTGAGATGTGGCAAACCGGTTTCAGGCTAATGCCCGGTTTCTCATAATTGCTGCGGCTGCGGCCAAATTTGGCTTGAACGCGCGGGAAAGTACCGAGAAAAGCGGGCGTCGGGGATTTTCGAAAGCGGGTGCCAAATAGTGCGCTCCATCAGATAAAGATACAGAAATCACATCTCCTGAAGTTTTGGCTAGATCAAACTATGGGATGTTGAACATGTCCCCCATCTTTCCAGACCTCAAACTTGTAAGCTATATTGAAAACATCCCATCAAAAAAACCAAGATTATCTGCACTTTGGATTTGGATGAAAACCAACTCAGAACTTGTCTTGAGAAGGATTTCAACATGGGCTTCAAAGGATAAACTGAGTTCAAAGGCAACAGACATTAAAACATCTGGTATCAATACCCAGACCCAGACTTCCATGAATAGTGTTGACTCAAATCCTGGAATGTTGAAAAAAGTATCAGCTAAAGTATCAGACCTGAAACACTCAATTTACTTTCCGCAGATACCACCAATCCAGAAAGGGGTATATTCACTTTGGGGTTGGATTAAAAAAACACCAGATCCCATATTGAGAAGAGCAAAATATTTTTGGGATAAAAGAAGCAGTGGAGAAAATGTCAAGGAGGTTTATGATGATGAAGTGATGCAGGGTAAAGTCTTTGAAGTCACCAAAGGATGTGAAGAAACTCCAGTGGGTGGAGTAGCAATAAAACCTCTGGAAGATTTGGGTGGTAGCTCTGAAAGTGAAAGAATGGAAGATGTTGTCCAGGACAAGTACCATGATTTATCTTCAAATTTGAAATCAAAATCAAAGGCTGATGTCAAGAAACTAGCTCATTCAGCAACACATCAAAATAGTGCTGCATCACAATCCAATTGCATCCCTGGAGAAAAGAAGCAAATCAGTGAAAGTGACAGGGAGGCTGCACAATATTACTCAAGCATTCTAAGATTGAGCAACAAAAAGAAGTTTTTACCAATTGAGGTGACTGAGGAGGAATATCAACACATCAAGCCTTCACCAATGAATGAAGAAATCTTGGATTTCATGAAAGATAACTCAAGTTTGAGTGATGCTGAATTTGAAAGGAGAGCAACTGCCATGTATTGTCAGATCAATCAATTCAAGATTTTAGAGATGATGAATGACCAAGGAGGATTGATACCACAGAGAATAAAGATACACTTATTATCATTTCAAGCTGATATACCTTGGGGCAACTTTTCACAAATATGAGCAAGATGGAATTGGAAAACATGAGTGTAAAGATTGAGGTTATGTATGAAGATCCAAGTGATTTCAAGGCCCTTGAGGCTATCATGAATTCAGAATTTGAAATACGGAAGGGAATTATATCCTACCTGTTGAAGCGCAAGGATTTATCTAAGTGGTGGAATGAAGAAAGATTTGCAGAAGGAAGAAAACAGGGTATAGACTTGGTTAGATTATGACTATTGGAGATATATTAGAATTTGGAGAGCTCAATATTGGTCAGACCTCACTTGCACACAGGAAGGAAGTCCCAAGGAAGATGGAAATTTTGTATGAGAACTTTGTACTTCAAAACAATGTGTTGCCATGGCATGATTCTCCTGAAAGAGCTTGGCTAGAAAGTCAACCTGAACTTTGGAAATTATATCAAGAGAGATTCCAAGTTGTCATATTGGCCTTTGAAACCCTGAACTCAAGCCATGTCTATACACTATTGTCATATGATGTTGGAAACAATATGCATGCCTGGTGGCATTTTGGAGACTATTTGATGTGGATTGATGAAGGTCTTGATCATCAACTGATTATGGAGATAGGAGACTCATTGAAGCTAGGAAAAGACAGGGCCAATAATGCCAAGATACTTGCAAGTGTAAACTGGAAAAAGAAACTAGAGAGGTATGATCATGAAGCAAAACTAAAAATAAAAACTTACTTTGAAAAGAGAAGGATCTTATATTGTTCAGAGCTACAGTTCAAAGCACCTTTATCTACCACTGAGTGGCTCAAGAGAACACTTCATTTTTTAATCTCATGGCTCTGATGACTGTTAAGTGAGTCTTGGAAAATAGAAAATTAATAATGATATTATGCTATTCTGATGATTGTTTTGAAAGTTCTTCCTTGTGTTGTGCTAATTCTTAGAATTAGGAACCTCCAGTCAGTGAGAAACTAACTTGATCACTTTTGGCAAATGTAATACTCATTATGGGCTCCAGGAAATGATTTTTCACAAATTTCCCATTTAATAAAAATCTTGCACAAAGGAGCTACTTGAATGAGGGATATGGGCTTTGGACATGGCTCAATTGATTGATTTGCTTTCTTCTATTTGTTTTATTAGATGTCTCAAGGATAATATAATCATATTCATGGAACACATTGGGAAAGACAAGTTGAAGGATGAATCCATCTCACAAGCCCACATGTCTTTAAGCTACCCACCTCAATCCAAGTTTGTGCAGTCATTTTCAAAAAGCTTGTCACAGATTCACTGCCATATTGCTTGAGTCTTGCGGAAAAATTTGGACAAGCTTTTTTCAAACAACTGTATGAGAAACTTTTGCATCATGTTCATACATACCATCTTGTTTCACACATATGATAACATGAAGATGAGCTGAAAATAAAAACATCAACTAAAGTGAGCCATCAGAGAAAAGCTGAACAAATTCCAGAGCTCAAATTTTTTCATCTTCCATTCCAATCCCACCAGCCTTTGAGAGGATCCTGGGATAGTATTCCAGCACCTGACAAAGAAAGTCAGGTTCTTCTCTTTTGAAGTGTTTACAAAAATCATGTGGCCAAAAACAGTTGGGCAATCTTTTCTCAAGAGTGTGATCTCTCTTTTGGGGTGTATTCAGTATAAAGAGGTGATTGAAATTGATGGTTATCAAATGCTATTCAGATTTTGCTTTTTGATTGGTAACAAAATGTTCCAAAGAACACCACTAGAATCTGTTTTGACATAGTTTCCCAAACCGTGAGGCTAAAGACTTCAACCAGACAAAACTCACAAGAACTGTCTGTAGAGCCTTTTGCAAGCAACAAGATCATAGACGCGCGAGAAAAACACTGTCATTCCGACCGCATGGTGATGGATGCAAGGTATCAATGTGGTGGCTTGCACTTTTCGCGCGGGCATTCTAAACGTCATAGCAAAGATTATCAAGTTTAAAGTGAATATCATATGGTTGACTACAAACGAGTTCTAGAAGCTCTACGTACGTTCGAACACAACCTGTGTCTTGCAATAGTACGGGTTTATTGTTTTGTCCTGTTCGGTGTGCCGGCAAACTTTTGTTTTCAAAGTTCAGGAAATAAAGTGATACCAATAAGTCAGTAATCTGTTGAGTCAAGTTGCATGAGGCCATTCAAGGTGTACCACTGAATTCTCAGTTTCCAAGACATCTTGAGATCTCTTGAACCAATGTACGCCGTCAAAGTACATGAGGCTCAGGTAAAACATGCAAGATGAGACTAACCGATCTGTCTACCGTCTGGCCGAGGGGAGAGGGCATTCTTGATTCCATCGTCGCAAGTCCATAACTTTCCCTTGTTCACCACGGTATTAGCCACATCAACGCAATCACTCGCAGCTGTGTGATAACCCAAAGGTAAGCCGTCTGTTTACATTACCCATTGAATGAAAACGAGAATATCTATCGCACATGGTATCAGCTTATCATTCCTTCCACACCATTCGCAAAGATAGGTTATCACCCCTGAGTCTTGTGATACTAGACACACTGGGAGCGTGAATATTTCGGCAAGAAGTTAAAAGTCTAGGGTCAGTTCACACTATCCTGAAAAGTAAAAGATCATTGATTGACTTTAAGGAAGTGAGTTACTGTAAATTGAAGGAAAATGTTGGACTGACAATATGGGAGCTTGTTGGTTGGTGAACCCCAACCGTAGGTGCAGTCTAGAGCATTGGCATGTACGAAGATATGAGAGCCGAGGTTTCCGGCGAGCAAGAAGACAAGTAAAAGATGAAAGATTGGGCTCGATCCCTTCCAAGACATACTTGACAGAACAAGATTTCAATCTGGCTCACAATGTCGTAAGGCTACTAAAATTTCAAAGGCTCGGTGAAATGAACAATTGAGAAATGGTAAATGGTTTTGTAAAGTCTGCAAAGATTGTGAGGAAAAGACCACCGGCTGATTGCCTTGATATCATCAACCTGGGTATTCCAACCACATGTATGTGGCTGTTCTCACTAGAGCCATGGAATTCTGAAGAGGTACCAGGAGGGACCCTGCAGACTACTGAAAAAGGATTCCATTCACCTCGTGCTCCCCATGTGCACAAGAAGAGGGATTGGGCGAAAAACCGACCAACAGGTTTCCAAACCCCATTCAATCGCTGTTCAAATTTTTGGGAACGTTTGCGAGATGGCTCGAAATCAATATCAAAGCCACACAAAACCAACAACAATTTTTATCCAAATTTTTGCTTTGCAGAATTGTTGACCGGTATGCTTGGTTGTGTGATCACGTCCATGCTTTAACCGTTCAAAAGCTCTTACAGGTAAAGTAATTTGCGGCGCCTCAACCTCGCAACGCCCTTTTGCACCTTTACAGATCTGTGAAAGGTG